GGGGGGGGGGGGGTAACGATCCGCACAGAAATGCATTTCAGGCACGCAGATGCACCTCAAGCGAAATTCCTACCCCGTGGAAAAGAGGTGCCCATTTTTAATGCAGCCTTCGTTGATGCTGCACACCACATGCAGGCACTATTATCGCTGAGGAAGAGACCCGCGTAGCGGCAAACGAGCCTCTCTTCCTCATCATTTCCACTGTTTCTACTTCACTCACTTTATCTACTCAGATACATTATGATTGTTTGAAGGCTCTCCGCCGCACCCAAGAACCAGCCCTTCTTCTCGAGTTTCACACGTCACGCGGGAGAGAACAAAAGAAAAGACCCACAAAATTAAAGAAAAGAAATGTTTAATATTCAGCTCAATTTTGACACCACAACTCAATTCAAGTAACACGACATTGAAAAATGAAAAAGCAAAACTTCTGCACATGGACAACAACAAGACAAACAAGATTTTTAAAAAAGAAAAGGGGGAGGAAGGCTTCAAGGCTTTTGCAGTATACACGCGCTCCTGCCTTCACAGCAAACAAAAAAGACGCCTTATTTCACAGCAAAAAACAAGAGAAAAAATGGAGGAGGCTTTCCGCCATGACGGCACAGAACTCGTACACCCAACGGCACTGCGTCACACAATTTGAAAAGCTGCGTGGCTGCAGTGCGCCATGGACTTTCCGCGTCGCCGTCTTCCGTGAACGTTCTCTTTCTTTAGCGTCATCACAGCGAGAGTCATCTTGTGAAAACGGCTAAAATACTGTTGGACGTGAATGAGAAAGCACAACGTGAAGGAACAGGCAGCTAGAGACCAGAATAGTAGTAAACAAAATGAATGGAGCAAAGCTATAAAAACACTCGTGTGTAAAGAAATATGTGCATACGCAAAACTGAAAAACGATATAAAGCTAAACACAGGTAAGAGAAAAAAAAAAACTACTCGTTTTTCTTTGCGAAAAGCTTCTTTTTCACACTTCCGTCCAACGGTGTCGTATACATTTATGAATTTGTCACTTGCGTGATAACACGTGTACATGAGTAACAGTCATCGCGGGGGAACACTTTTCCGCTTCTGCTACATGAATATTCATCCATCCTTGATACGTAGTCCTCTTCTCATAATACCCTTGCAGTTTCTCTTAGCCTTCCACCGCTACCCCGCCTGTGCAACTCAGCACTACCGTCCGCGCTGCCGCTAATTGTTGTAACGTTTGCAAGCTTCAGTGGTCCTTCGATTCTTCTACGTTACACCAACTGTTCATTCACGATTGCT